GTTGAGTCCATCTCTTTTTTAATTTCCTTCGGCGTTAACCCCTTCAAATAAAAGTATTTGATGACAGCACGATTTTCCTGCTTTTCCATTTTTACGAAAACCACAGAGGCGTCTTGTTCAGCGTGCTGTCAAACCTACACTAGCAAGGAGATCGGGCTGAAACTATAGCTACAAGCTATCCAAGGATGGTACTATAGAATGTCACCTCAAGGTAGGCCTAGTGGCGTCATCTCTTGGTTAGGCCGGAAACTTATCAATCCACCCTCGTATGATAGCGATTTACTATGTATCTAACATTATTCTCTGATTATTACAGACTTTCTATACAAAAACTAGTGAACAACTGTCGGAATAATCGGTAATTTCAGCTACTTCTATCATCCCTTGTAGTAGCCGAGCCGAATCAGGTGATTTGAAATGATCGAACTGATGATCTAGTTCGTGGCAACGCATCAGTTACACGTACAGTAAAAGTTGTACTGTTCCGAGCCGATTTAGTGTGAGCCCTGCTTTATAATTCGCTCAAAGTTAATTAGCAGTTTTTCAAATTAGTAGATATTGCTTTCAGAAACGTCTAGGCCGAATTTAAAATAGCGATTTATTCGAATTGGTTGCGACAGAAACACGCACTTCGAACATTAGCCGAGAGAAGTTCTAGTGTGTGCTACTTAGATAAGAAAAAAATTTTTTTAGGGGACAAAGTATTGCCCCTGGAGCTAAACAATAGACGGAATGCAATGATAGTGTCAATGTCTTTTTATCAGCCTATCAATATTTGTCCGCGTTAACAAACGGTTCCGTTTATTTGCATTAATTTAGTTATCTATTCGTAGAACAAATTTCCGTGGAGCATGAAACATGGTTTGCGTCAGATTTTTGTTTATTCTAGCATTAATCACCGCATGTACCCATTTACGTGCTTAATGACCTGGGTTGGTCGTGGACCATTTCCTGGATTTCTGGGAAAAATTACTGGCTAATTCATGTTTATCACTAAAAGGTTTCAATATCCAAATTATCCGATATTTGAATATGTATTTGTAAAAATATTCAAGTACCTACCTATTTGAATATGTTCAATTCATTAAAAAAAAAATATTTATCAAACCAATGTTTTATCTATATAAAGTTTTAGTAACTTTTATTAATGGTTGTTGATCTTTGAGTATGTATTACTTCACCAAATCGGTCAGTATTACAGTTTTTTACTAAAAAAAAAGCCTTGCAAAAACCCAACAGCCTGGGTGAAACATTGACTGTGGTTTTTTAAATAAAATTATTTTAATCCCAGTATTGCTTAGATTAAAAAGATTTAAAATAATTGTTTCTAAAAGTAGGTATTTGAATCATAAATTTTCAGATATTTAAAAATTCAAATCCAATCCCTAACATTATCACTGCCGGCTTTAAATGAAGCGGAGCCGAGGTCTAAAAGCGATTTCAAAAAATAGTTTTTAAATAATTTGCCAGTTTTATTTTCTTTAGTTCTGACAAAATAGGCTATTATTAAACAGTTATATTAGATAGTAAATATTATACAATTCTAGGCACAGAAATGTACTAACTAATGTAGAGCAGTAACTAAAAGCGAATTATTAAATTCCTTAATTATATCCTAATTATTTTTATGTAAGAAATTAAAATTACATTATTCCAAAAGTTAATTTAAATTCCTTAAAATCCTTCCCAAAAACAAACCAGTTTCTTTCCAAAAATTTAATAAATCATGATAATTTAAACATTTAAAAATAGAAATGTTCCTTGAGATTTTGGCTGGCTAAGGTTGGTCGATATCCTAACTGACGTTTTTTTGTGATAATCTGTTTTTAGTCTTGACTTCCGAAGTAAACATTTCATTTTTGAAGGGCATTCCCATTAAAATACGTTCCATATACATAATTGCTTTATATCATTCAAAATAACTATATTTACGTCATTTAGAGCTCAATTAAAAAGCAATTAAATCCCTAAGGCTGTGTTTCACTTTTATTTTTTATTGTCATTGTCCTTCAACTGTCTGAAGTTGATTGCTATTATTAAGAAGGCATTGGGTACAAGAAAGCAATAAATATGGAGTTATGTACAAGCAAAAGAATTTTAACAACGTTGACTTATTTCGTTTTTTCGCTTGCTCGGTATATTATTAAGTAGATAATATATGTATTCCTTGTCAGTTCAGCTTTTAATGCATTATTAAAAATTATTTATTTGTTCATGAATATCTATTTTGTCCCCTTTAAGGTAATATCCGCCAGATATATACACTTGGGCTAACGTTTCTTCCAATCCTCTAAGAATCATCTTTTGTGATCTTGTTCACTTCCTCCTTCGAAGCCGTCTTCATCTCTTCAATCGCAACGTAGCGTCGTCCTATCATGGGCCTCTTCGATTTCGGGTTCACGAAAGTCACTGGGGCCAGATCTAGGCAGCTGCGGCATTATGTGTGTGTTGTTTTAGGCCAAAAATTCGCGCAAAACAACAATGTGTAAGCAGGGGCGTTGTGTTATCATGGTGCAAAAGCCAATTTTTGTTCTTCCACAAATCCGGGCGTTTCTGGCGGATTGCATCGTGCAAATTGCGCATAAGTTACAAGTTATATTCCTTATTGACCGCTCTGGCAAGAACTCAAGAAGATACATCACGCAACTGTAAGCAAAACCTTCAAATTCCACCTAACTTGGCGCGCTTATTTCTCGTGCGGCAGCTTCCTTTGGGATGATTGAGCTTTGGTTTCCACTCATGATTCGTCACCAGTTATGACCCTCTGCAGTAAATTTTTGGGTAGTTGCGGGTAGATTCCAACAGCTCCTTATCAATATTAATGCGATGCTATTTTTGATCGAAATCGAGCAATTTTGATACAAATTCCGCGACGACCCGTCACATGCCCAAATCATTGGTAAAAATCGAATGGCAGGGAACCAATCGATATGTTTCGGTCTTTAGCAACTTCTGTAACGGTTCATCATAGTTTTCGTCTGTTGTTGACGCGTCCGGCACGCTCTTCGTCGTTCACATCTTCTCGGCCCTCTGAGAACCTTTTGTACCACCGATAAACGTTGCTTCGGTCCAAGGTAGTTTCACCATATGCCACAGTCGACATTCGGAATGCGTCCGCGCACTTGATTTTGTTTTAGACCTCGTACATGACTAAATCCAACAATTCTAAATGTTTGCCCTCAATGGCTAATAATATCGTTTGTTTCATACTTGTAGAAACCAGGGATGTTACGGAGCTTCGACTCCGGTTCCGTTAAGTCGAAACTTCCAATTACTATTACACCTTCGGTTCCGACTTCGGCTCCGACACTTTTAAATCGAAGGTTTTAATCGGAGGCCGAGCATAACATAGCGGCGGCGCGGCGGCCTGTGTCGACTGTTATGAACAGGTTCATAGTATGAACTTCATACATGTCGCGCGGGGAATCCCCCCTACTTCCACTATTTATTTTATAATTGAAAATTGAAATGAGAAAAATTTGACTAAATAATGTTTTATTTGTCCTTAAACAAAAATTCTTTCTCATGCCACCACTTTTGACCCTGCCTCCGACTCTGATTCCGACTCCGATAAAACTACCTCCGTTACATCCTTGGTAGAAACCCTCAATAGTCATAGTCTACATGGATGTCAATGACGAAGACATACATAATATTAGAATATTCAGGATAACGTCAATGTAGTTGTACGCTTTACATCCTTCATGAAAAAATGAACAAAAAATAATAGTTCCCCTGTGATTTTACTGGCCAGTTGTCACCGTTGTTGTGTTTATGGGCTATGTTTACGAATACCGGTGGTCGCATAGCGCATAGCGCGTTACGTAAACTGGCCGATTAATTTCATTATTCCCAATAAATCTCAATTGCACTGGTAGCGAAATTGGATATTTCTTGTATGCCAATTCACGGTAGGTAGAGAGGAGAGATAGGTACGTCGATATGTAGAAAGCAGATTGTTGAGGTATGCCTGATACTAATACAATGCGCGAATGCAAGCTACCGACATGACTGTGCTTTAATGTTAATAACACAACATAATGCAAAGATATTGCAGTAACACTTCACCAGTCGCCACATTCACGTCTATCGAATTACCTAAATAATATGTATGCAATACCAGCGAGATTTCACCGGATAAATCATGATATTTTCTCAACATTCCCGCTACATATTATCGCATAATACCTACCTATACCTGAAATTACAGAGCCAGGTTGTAATAACTACCGCGTAAAGATATCGAACTACCTACGTACACCTATGATCGTGTGATTTACTTTTTAATTAGAAATCTGGCAAACAAAGAAAGACAACTATAGACACAATCTATCTGTCATATATTCGAAAATCACCTATATCACGTTTTTAATTAAAAGATTTCATGTTTCAATTTCTAATTGCAAAGTTTCTTTGCATTACCGAGTATTTCAACATTTGTTGCACGCCCTTATGACGTAGGACAGTGATAAGTTCTCAAAAAATTTTTNGGGCCCAGGAGCTCTTGCAGGAATGTGGAATATAATATGGACAAGGTAAAAGAAGGAAATGGGAAGGGAAAGGCTCCGTAACCAAGACATTTACAATCAATATAAAATCACTAAGAAATCAACAATTCCGTTTAACTTATCTTCTGATTACAAACCTTTCATTATCAAACTTTTGTCACCATATTTGTTTATAAAATAATAATAAAAATGATAATTATAGTAGTATCAAGCAGAGATACACCGGATAGTAGTTTTACCGGCTACCGGATAATCGTGTAACCGACATTAGTTTTGTAACCGCTACGATTAATGGTTCATATCTTTGTTCTGACAAGCTTTCCATTAAATACCACCCTTACCAACGTCCCAAACCACATTCACTCCTGTTCAAAAAGTGGTTTAAACACTAAATAGAATTGCAATGTTTGGTTGGCGGATTCTCAACGAGAGGGTTGTCGGATCCAAACCGGGTACCTGGCTCATCTTAACTTAAAATTTAAAATTACTCACCGGCAAAGCTTCGCATGTTTCGACTGGTAGCGAATCCTCAGAGCAGAACAGAGGATTGTCCGGTTGCAGAGACGGCGGCCTCGGGGGTGGCGGTAGCATAAACCTAGGAGGCGGTGGTCCAGGACAGTCGCACTCCATACCAGCAGAGGCGTCCATGGACCACATCACTTCTGCCTCCTGAGGCTTTTCGGCGTTAGTTGTGGTTGTGAAATGCTCCCCAGAGGAGGGAGTCGTCCACCCCACCTGGTCGCCGCCGCCGTTTTCGCCTCTTTTTCGTCCTGGAGGCTCTTCCATAGACTGCTAGCCGTTTCTACCACCGATTCTACAACAAAAACATCGTTTAAGTCGAGTATTCCATACATATAAACAATTGCATAAATTAATTAAAAACAAAGTAAACAGGGATACGTAAAGAAATGTTGATATAAAAAGCTACTTGCGATAAAATTCCGCACATACGTATACTAAAGACAAGTAAAGGTCAGTGTTGAATTCGGAAGACAGTCATTATCATTAAGGGTCGTCAGTCCTAAGACGCGCATATCCAAACTTTCTCTAAAAGTGGAGCATCCCACATCCTTAACTATGTACTTGTGGACAGTGATCTAATCTAGGCCCACCTTTACCCTTCTTACAATATGTGTCTAACTAATCTGAGGTGTGCTAGCAACCTTTCTCCCTTATTTCGTATTGATTTTCAATTTCGCCGCGCTTCTTGTCCACTTTTCGCACCCGTACAGTCTTGCTCCAGACATATACACTTAATTTTACGAATTTCTAAATTAACCTTTCGCCAACACAGAAATAACTTCTTTTTATTAGAGGTGACTCTACCTTACGCTATCTTCTGTTTTATATCTCTATCGCACCTTCCATTCTGAGTTATATACCTTCCATTACACCGAAAATCGGCCATTTTTCGTCTCCCGTCTTTATATTCACTTCACCTATAGTCACGTTAAAATTAGCATGATAACAACAATATTCTTATCATGATACTTGATCATTTTTGATCATTATCCTTTTGATTCCTGTTTTAAAATTCACAAGTTTTGCTTTATAAAATTTTCTTAGTTTTGTTAGTCCCATTGCACCCTGTATAATATCAGTTCGGTTTGCGTGAGTCATAAACAAAAGTACACGCCCCATTTTGCGTATATGCGTGCGTGCGTGGGTAAAAGTTGAAGCGATTAGTGCTTAAATGTTTCATTCGACGTCAACATCGATACTTTGAAACCCATTTTTCATTGTACACCGAAGACAAATTGAGCGTTGTATTCCGAGACATAGCACAGGGGTGTAATAAGGGTTCCAGGTTTACTACTAACCTGAAGCTTGAATGTCAGAAAAGAGGAAGGATGAAACAGTGATGATACGTGGGCATATTACAGAAAATCTATTGATATCTTGAATAATTACGGGATTTACTAATTAAAAACCAAATTAAATTTGAAATGACATCAAGCAAACATGAAATAGTGCTATTATACAGAATGCGGTTATTATACGTTGTGACTTGTACGTACACTACCTATGTATACTACCTCCTATAACCTAAGAATCAAAGAATGTAAGTACGTGATTCTTATTGCAATTTTATTATCTTTTGCATGGCTCTCACTTGACTTCCAAACACTTTAGCAACATTTGTTCTTAATGCGCCCCTGCACAATAGTCGGATTATGCTATCAAAATTTCATTCTAATCTACCCAATAGTGGGATACGCGTTGATAAAATCAGTTAGGACAATCTCCTTAATATGTACCGAAATTATTGGAAGATTGCATCACCATTATCATCATCATCTTTATCATAGAGTCGTTAGCCCCAAGACTAGTTGAACACGCACCTGTTTCTTCCTATAATGAGCCAACCTTACAGCATTTCCCGAAAACTATTTGCAACCAGTAATCTAATCTAGGTGTTCTCTGCCCTTTTTGACTCTTGTTTCTGGTTTTAACGTGTCTCTAACTAATCCATTACGTTTCTTTTACTTATTGACTTCCATAGCACCCCTAATAACTCCTTATTTCTACACAGGATTTTCATATCAAATTTCTCTTTTCCACCATCACATCCGTGAGGATGTAATTTGAGGATAATACCAGGATAAGGTAATGAGATAAGAATATAGGAGGATAGGAGAGGGAAAAACACTTGAGGTAAGGACATAAGAAATGGTTACTCCTTTCACAGATGCAAAAGCGATTAAGGCTTCCCGTGACAAGGCAATAACTAGCCTGTTGCGGTAGTAGAAAAAAAATACGTATGTTTAAGCTTAGTTTTGGCACCTTATTTATGGGATCAAATGCTCTTATGTAAAAGTGCCTAGGCCGCCACTGGAAAGAAGAAAGGGTGTTTGAGTTGTGAGAATCTACAGTGAACGATATTATTCTGAAAATCATTCTCCGTTAACAGTTTTGGGGCAAAAGTTGTTCATGCGGAACCGGTCAGCGCACGATTGAAGTTCATAATATAATGGCCTCAATGCTCCACCGGAAAAAGATGTCCCGCTTCAGTTACAGCCAAGAAGACAGGCCAGCGAGCAACTAACAACTAACTTGCTGCCGAAGCCTCCTCTTCTAGCTCCTTAAATAATAATAAAGACGAAGTCGAACCCGTTGCGTTGCTGTTTCGACGATGACAAAAAAATATCAAGAGTTAGATCCCGATCATCAGATAGTGTCTCTCTTATTTCAAATTAATTGATTGAGGACAGAGCAGCTCTTAATCTCGAACTGTCCGAGAAAAGGAATTATCATTCTAGTGGAAAAGGACGAATAAAAGAATCGACTAGTGACGGTCGATAAGTCAATTAAATAGAGCTTTTCTTTCCGAAGTCATTATTAGATTACAATTTCACTGTTCTTATCAAAAGAATTAGGTACCTATTTAATCGCTAAATGCACTTAATATTATATTATGTAGTTCGTTCGTTAATAATATCATGCAATGCATTATCGGGTGACTTAGAGCCGCAATTTTTGATTGAAGATATTTCGAAAATGATAGTGCTAAATTACTAGACATATCATTTGGATATACCAAATCAGGGGCCCAGGAGCTCTTGCAGGAATGTGGAATATAATATGGACAAGGTAAAAGAAGGAAATGGGAAGGGAAAGGCTCCGTAACCAAGACATTTACAATCAATATAAAATCACTAAGAAATCAACAATTCCGTTTAACTTATCTTCTGATTACAAACCTTTCATTATCAAACTTGTTAGTCACCTCATTATTATGTATCTAATAATATATAATAAGAAAGTCTCTATTTCCTAGAGTTTAAAAAAAACTGTTGATGAATTTAAATGCAGGTTTCACAAGTAATTCTTTTTCATCATCATCATCATCATCATCATAAGGTCGTCAGTCTTAAGACTGGTTGGACACGTACCTCCACTCTTTCGTATCCTGAGCTAAACTTCGCATTTACCCAAAACTAGAACAACCCACATCCTTAAATATTTGCGAACAGTAATCTAACCTAGGTCTACCTCTTCCATAGAGTCCTCTGTTTTCCTATTCTTTCTAATACCTCTTCATTTCTAACCTTTTCTACCCACGTTATCCTCATCATTCGCCTTTAACACCACATTTCGAAAGCTTCTAACCTTTTCTTTTTCGCCGCGCTCACTGTCCATGTTTCGCACCCGTATAGCGCCGTGTCCAAACATACACATTTAACAACCTTTTTCGAATTTCTAAATTAATCTTTCGCGAGCATAGATGACTGCTTTTTATTAAAGGCGACACGACCCTGCGCTATCCTCTGTTTTATATCCCTACTACTCCTTCCGTCCTTATCTGACTTTCTGGATATCTAAAATCAGTCACTTCTTCTCAATTTTTGTCTCCTATCCTTATATTCGCTCTTTTCCTACTTTTTCTTCCCTTGCATATCAGTATTTTAGTTTTAAATTCGTTTTATTTTTATTTTAAAAGGGCAGGAATACTTAATAAAGTTTTACCTCTTCTAAATGTAAGTTTACTAGAATTTTGTAAAATCTGTAACTATAGTACATCCTACAATTCAAAATTCTAACAGGCAAATATTTAATTGGTAATAAAATAGTGCATTTTCAAGAAAAAGTTTTTAGCAATACTACTATAAAGCCAGTAATTTACTATTCTTAGAACAGATCATAGGTAAGTTTAAGTTAAAACTTCTGCTTTTAACACTTGTTTCTTTTTATGCTTGAGCTTCCATAACGAATTAAATCTAATGACAGAACTGATACTAACATTAATTGATGAAAATAAATACCTACTCTTCGTCATATTTTCTGACTTAATTTTTTAAATACCTAACAGTAAACCACTACTTCAATATCGATTCTTTTCTAATCGTATGTTCATTATTTTAAATATCAGAGAGCAAGTAGCAACTACTACTCTACGTTTCTCTTTAAATTTATTTTACAGAAATTGTTTTAAATTGTTTACGTACGTTTCAAAGAACTCCCTGTTATTAACAGATTACTTAGAAAACTAATAGAGTGAGCTTGTCTGTCGTGAAAAGATTCATCATCGCGTAAACACTTTTCTGTTATTTTTACAGACGCTTTACGCGAGATTCGAAGAAGATACATATGATTTTTAGAGACTACAAAAACGCCGGTATTATTTTAGACTGGAATTTTGCCTACGACCTGTTTATTAAGTAGTATGTTTCTACAAGGAACAAGTTTATTACAGGTAGCTCGATGTCGAAGTGCTAATTATTAAAATGATTATCGAATCATTCGAAATATGCGATAGGGCGATGTTAACACAAATACCTTTGAGACGGAGGACGATCTAGGTATTATTCAACATGCCAGAAATTTTAATCACTGGGTGGGGAATCATAATTAATTACAGGTATGTACTTGATCCTTTTAATTTAGTATCCGATCCTTAATAATCCTTTTAAGCAGTTGATACATAGGTAGGTACATCATTTCCTATCAATATAAATCCTTTATATGAAGGTGCTAGAAGGAGATAAAGTGAAAAATAGGGAATATCAAGAATACCAACATGCTGAGATATTAAAAATGGTTATTACGATGAAAATACAATTGAAATATCCGTAGGAGATAAAAAAATACATAAATTATTTACTAAACTTTATGTAGGTAAGCACATTTTACCATATTGTAGTATCATCAGGAGTTGATAGGTATTAGTTTTACCTTAAATTAGGGATCGATCGATATCAAAAAAACATCGATGTTGAGATCGATATTAACATCGAATCAAAAGTATAGATGTACGACAAATATCGATTGAAAAACATCGATATGTCTAAAAATATCGTTGTTTTCAGTAACAAATAAAACTTTCTATTATATTTATGAAATGTGTTTATTGTTTTTGAAATTACAAAAGTTAAAGAAACAAATTATCAAAATATCGATGTTTTCCAGCTAAACGTCGCTTTATTCATCACCGATAAATATCGATCTTCCCTACCTTAAATATTAAATGGTTCGATTAACGCATCAGGGTTTAGGACGTTGTTTCCGAAATCATTAGTTTATTGCCCATATGCCCCAAGTGATTTTTATCAGTTTGTAATATTTAACTAACACCTCCTGCTTCCCTTTATCATGCTGTTATTTAAAATCACATTAACATAATTTTAATGAATTTCTAAATTAACCGTTCGCGAGCATAGAAATTACTTCTTTTGTGAAAGTTGACTCGACCTTGCATTATCCTTTGTTTTTTTTATATCTATAACTGCTTCTTCGATCCTAAATTATTCGACTTCCTTGACACCTAAAATCAGCGACTTTTAATTTTTCGTCTCCTAACTCTATAATCACTATGGAGTGGAATACATCGAGGAATTGGGAGGGATTTCCTAGATGGTAATAACGATTCCTGTCAATGGGAAGTGGAATTCGGTGGTTACTAGACTAGTAATTTATTCTGAAATTATCGCATCTCTAGACATAGATACCTATACTCATGTTTAAAAATATGTCACGCTTAATTTAACAGTAGTAACAAGGCAGACATTGATAACAGGAGATCGAATTAATCATACGTCAGCTTTGATATGATCCCGTGTTCTAACAAACTTTATCTCATAAACACGAATTACATGACAGAAACGAAAGGGTAATTCTCGAAACAGGTTGACTTGTATTACAAAATGACGTAATTTTAATTTGTATTATTCTTTGATAACGACTGCCTAGTGGAAGAAATTACATTTTGAACGCGAATGTATCATGAAACGATACGAGTTTCAGTAAGAAAGTGCATTATTTACATCCAGGAGGGAAAGCCATACTTTTTTCCCTTTCTCTGATTTCAGGAAGGCAAGCACAACATTCCCTCCCGGTTAAGAAAACGCATTCACTTTTTTTTAAGAAAGGATTTTAGCATCCTCGCGTGGTTTCCACCCTCAGCTTTGAATAGGGTGACAATTTCCATGCGAAGGACGTTAAAATGCTTTCCTAAAAAACAGTAATTAATGAGATTTCTTACCTAGAAAGTAATGCTACACTTTCTCGTTTTTGATGAAAGTACTTTTGGAGCATGTTTATGGGTTCGGGTAGCAATTCACATACTAAACTTAATCATTGAATGTTTTAAGGATTTTAAATGTATTTTGAAGTTTAAGGTACTTTACACAATAAGTTTTAGAGAGCTTACAACAACTTTTTAGATACTGAAATTTAAGGCTAAAATTAGAAAAGAGACAAATAAATTCGTGCAAGAACCAATTTTTTTTAATGCACAATTATAATTGGAAAACATAACAGAGGTTTCGTAGCTGGAAGGTACAATAAAAATTCAAAATTTCGATAATAACTCAAAAGGAGTGAAGAAGGAATATGTTTAGTAAAAAATGCATATATTATGTAGGCAGGTACAGGTAATCAACTCCGACCTCGCTACAAAAAGTACCTACCTATACCTGGGCAGTGGTTGGGAATTTCTACTTTTTTTCTTTTTCGAAATAGTTCATTAAATTTAATGGCACTGTCTGACTGGAAATTGAAAAAAAAAACAGAAAATTTCTACAACCTAAAAAAGTTTATCGTCGCCAATGTTTTACCTCCTAGGATTTTCAATATTTTTAATTGCGATAAGGAATTCTCGACTGAAGATTTTGAAAAATCAGAACTGGCAATCTATTTCTCGGAGTTTCGTACGTTAGAACATACTTATTATACCTGGGTATGGAAATAAAAATAAGTTGGGTTGGAGATAGAACACGTGCATGTTGCGTTTCCTCTTAATTTACCACTGGAGTATTTTTTACCTACTTCAAACTCAATAAATATACCTGAATAACTGTAACAAATTAGGAATACTCACTATAGTAAATGATTTATGAGGTACCTACAGAATTATAAATTTTGACTTTTCCTTTTCCAAGTTCCCATCACAACTTAACAACAGATCATACATAATTGATTATTACAAATAAAAAATTATAATACGTAATAAATGACATGTATAGTATTTTTTGGTACTTAGCGATTATGTTAGTTTTTTTATTTTAATGACAGACTAACCGGCAATTGTAATAATCCGCTTGTAAGTTCCAACAGGATAACAATTTTACTCATTATATATCACAACACATTTCACAAAGATCAATACACAAAAAAACCGAAAAACTAGATAATATAAAAATCTCAACGAACAGCAAAAAAAAGAACAAGAAGCGCACGAGACAAGTCGGTTCGCGAAATAACTTGCACCCGTCTTTCGTGACAGTTAAACAATTCAAGGTGTTCGAAAGGATTGCATTATTACACGGCTTCTAACTTCCTGATATATTCACTCAATTTACGTACAAACGAACAACTACTTCGATACGAATTCGCGAACGAGCGCACGTTTTGTAACGAGCTCTACGACGTACACCAAACAGAGGTTGAACGCAATCTGAATAATCACCGACAGCTGCACGTTCTGTTGACTGAGCTAGCCCCTACCACACGGTTTTCTCCAATGAATGGCCGCGTACAGAAGGGAACTTGGACCTAAGGTGGGGATAATAATGACATTATCCTGTAATTTATAGTAGACCAACTGAGTTTTCAGGATGCACAAACCAAAGCAAAAGTTGCGGTCCACTGTGCTGCAAAAATATTTTGCTTTGATTGTTTCTACTATTCCAGTTCCTCCTCAGAATTAAATTATTTTGTAATGAACTTAAGTTTTAAGTATTTGCGGAGTTTTTAAAAGTTTAAATATTGTACATTTAATGAATTAAAATTACGTAGGTACTGAACATAATCAGTTGATTGAGAGTGTAAAAAGGTTTATTGGAGTAAAACCTACACTGATGTTTCGCCTCTGATTTGAGACTTTTCAAAGTGAGTTTTTAAAGGTACAATATATTGGTTTTAAACTGGCGTGGTACATTTCGTCAACAATGTTCTCGAACGGATCAACTGACTGATGGGATTTACAACATTCACCATACTTTTTGCAGCTTTAGCTTCTTATGGCCTCAAAACGAAGAGACTGATGAATGCTGCGATTTTCGAAAATCAACTTGAAATCAAAAACTCACTAATTTTGAAAAATTAGCGGCTTTACTCGCGTTGATGTCCCAAATACGTAATAAAGATCATCAACGACATTAAACTATTTTTTATCCCTCAGGAACACTATTCTTTTTATGGATAAAACGTGCCCTATGTCCTTTTCTGTACCCCCGGCAATGTGTGTACAAAATTTCATGATAGGTTTTACCCTCGGCTTGGCTCACGTTGATCTCTTAAATACGTCAAAGATCATCGACGACCACGTAAAATTAATTTTTCTATCCCCCGGGAACAGTATTTTCTTTTTTTTTTTCTTAATATAAGGTAGGCTGTACCACGAACAATGATCGGTTAGTAGTTAACCAAGTAGCAAGCAAACATTACATTAGCATTCATAATATTAATTAGAATGGGTAATGGGGCGGCCTTTTTTTACGGTGCCCAGGGCGACACTAAGGGAAAATCAGGCCCTGATAAAAGGGCACCATTACCTTTTTAGAAATACGCGGTGGCACACAATCAGCCTTCTTCAGAAATACGTGGTTGGAAAAATATATTAAACGTTCACCACGTTCGCTGGTGCGACATGAAAAGAAAAATTCAGGTAAGGAAATGCGTAATTTCTATGTTCGGTGACTACGTATATTTCTTAAGGATGTTTGGGAGGTATGTCAAAATGCTACGAGACAAATAAAAATTTGGAAGAATGTTTCTCATTCAATTCTAAAACTTCTGCAAAAATTACAAATCGATTCACTAAACCGTTAAAAAGTTATTGAAATTTTAAAAAANATTCAATTTTGTTGGTTTTTACAAATATTATATGTAAGTGGTTTAGGTATAATTTTAGGGTATCGAACTTTGCAGATAACAATATCTTTAAGATACTTTATCTTCAAGTACTTAAATAATATTAGAAACCAGTTGGTTGGCACCTTCACCCCTCCCTCTATCAGGGTGGAGATTATGTTATAAATAGGCTGACACACTCATAATGAGACATCAAAAAAGAACAATTAAGACAACAACAAACAACAATTAGTAGCATCAGTGTATCAAGTTCAGGGTCTTCAATATATGTACATACATTTGTAGTAATAACTGTATATTTGTAAATAAATTTTCTAAGTGCAGTTATTCGTGTTATTCACAAGTGAGGTAAATTATTTGCACTTACAATCCTTCCAAAAAATTCGTGTGCTCCCTCATAGGAGAAAGAAGTGGCGCGGCAGCGCAAAATAAACAAAACACCGTATACTTTTTTTTAGTATAGATAGTATTTATTTACCTCATGATATGTTGGAAAACCTAATTAATCACGAATTTCTAATTTTATGTACTCTTGTCTCCGATTGTTCCTCCCAAACATCTTTAATATCAATCCTAATACTGGCAACTTAACGTGTAGAATATACCACTGTGTAGCGGCATATTACACAGGTATAATAAAGACGGGACGGTAGTATTTTGTCGGCTTGGGGCCGGCTGCCTGTTACCCGTTTTTTGTTCGACAAAAGGTGAATCGGCCTCAACTTTTGTAAAACGATTTGGTTGCTGTTAAAAAAGCGCCCGGTGAATCGATTAAGCCTGAATAAGATGGGCTTATAATGTGAATTTGATTCGGTGGGATCATGTTTCGCAATAAATCTACTTTCGGATAATTCTTGTACCTGCTTGCCACAATAAAGGGTGCGCTTTGCCGTTTATGGATCGTATGAATTTCAATTTGGACCAGAACGCGTGCGTGATGGGATTATATTCAATGTAAACATCTTCCTAAAATCTAATTTGAGTAATACGGTTTTGCAGGAATATACCTACTATCGACCAACGTACTTCCTTTCCTAAGCGAAGAAGGAATTTAAAGTTGATATGACAAAACATGGGTACTAAATAATCTACTTCCGAAACTATTACCATTCTAGTTAGAAATTCCACTTTTCAAGGATTTTCGTTAATAACTAAATAAATGCGAATGTCAGTTTGTTTGCTACGATTGCACGCCTTAACTAGTCAATCGATTATCATGAAATTTTGTGCATACATTGCCAGGGGTACAGAAAAATACATAGGGTAGGTACGTACCTTTTATCCGTAAAAAAATACTGTTCCCGAGGGATACGAAAATTAGTTTTATGTGGTCGCTGAAGATTTTTTACACATGTTTAGAAGATCAATGAAAGCGAAGTCTGGTTACCTATAAATGATAGCAATTAGGAAACGTCTATTTCTTTGTTTTGTTACAAAACATGAGATGAATTATGCTGAATTTGTACCTATAACATTATCCCGAGACAGCTGAAAGTGTGTGAAAAGTGATTGTAACAATGGATTGGAAATATGAGATTAGATTTCTGTTTCAAAACTACACGCAAAAATTGTTCTAAAGGTCTACACGTCCTTTAATGGGACTTGGTGCTTGTCCCAGGGTCAGCGAAAGGGAATGGAAGTACACGCATATCAGAGCAAAGTATTATTTATTAATAATATTTCGATACTAATTGTGTATCCAAAGGCTGTGTCCGAATCTTTTGGGGAAAATGAATCCGTTATCCGTATGCGTATCTGGACTCTTTGTATACTTCCATGGATATACTTCTTGCGACATTCCCCGTGTCACAGCAGGAGAGGGAAAATGACACAAAATTGACTACTCACAAATGTCATAGCTGATTGAGATTAAGATTGAGCTTGAGCGTGTCTAGTAGAGGATGTCATTGCCATGGTTGATAGTGCAAAGTGCAAAAATACGTTACACCCACGAAATCTCAGCTTTGCGAAGACGATCGTACCTTCCACTTACATTTATATGCTAATACTGAAGTATATGTATAGTTGGGACGTTTAAAATTGCCATAGTCCGCAATAAAACTGTCGCATTTAATTTCCTGTCAACGTACTAACTAGACTAGAGCGGTTGCTCACAACAGACATTGTAGGGAATATCGTAAACATAGAAGAGAGATGTCAGGTAGGAATTGCAGCGGACATGCTAATAAAAGAAAAGGAATAATCTTACACCAATTAATATGTAACATGAAGAGATGCAAACAAGCGGAACTTATGAATGTTGCCAGCATCGGACTTTAAAGGAAGTTCAACATTCTCAGGAATTTAGGAAAGCAAAAACGCTTGCTTAAAGATATAATTCCAACCACGCAGTTATAAAGCCGACCCTGATCTTTTGCGTACCTAACCAACCTATAACTGCTACGCCTTTTATTATTATTCGGTTATCACTTCTCACTTTGTCTATTTTACTCAAGAAGTATTTCCTAACTTAACAAGGATGTGCTTAAAACGCAGCAAATGAATACAGTTCCGAGTGGAAACAAGAAAGAAGATCTCACAGAATTTATTGCGGACTTTGCCAATTTTAATTGTCTCAACTACAGTTACCTATATTAAAGGAAATATTCAATTGTCAAGTAAAAAGTATCAGTATCCAAAAAAAGTATTTGGATACAATTATTTACGATACATTCTGCAACTAAAAGCATCTGTATTTCATATCCGGTATTCTCCGCCAGAGATAAAAATGTTCAGTCACTCCGAGTCTCTGAAAGAGAGACTCGAGTCTCCGTCTTTCATCGAGTCTCTCTGGTGTCGCTGAGAGAGACTGTCAAAAAAGCTGTTTAGCGTCTCTGAACGAGAGACTCGAGTCGCTCATAGAGAGATCCTCATTTCGTATCCAGTCTCTGAACGAGAGACTCCATTCTCTTAATTTTTCAGTTTTATTCATTTGGCCTCTTCGAGAGACTCGAATCTCTGAATTAACAATTTTGTCGTTCGAGTCTCTCATACAGAGACTGTGAGAGATCCATAAAAACACCTAGGCAATAACTGAGAGACTGTGAAAGACTGTGAGAGGCGCTCTCAGAGACGCTGAAAGACTCTGAGAGATTGGAGAGAGACTGAAAATTTTCGTCTAGGGCGAGCACTATTATTGGTACCCATATTTGATATATCTCAAGAATTCACGATTTTACCCAACACATGGAAATATTTTGAAAAAGGTTTACTTCTACTGCTGAAAATAAAAAAAAAGTGGAAGGGGGGGACTTCTCTATCTCACAACATAATAATAATCTTTGTTTAATTATGTTGCTGTTTTTGTAGTTAGTTAACTGTAAGTGCATACATATTTATTAATTTTAGCTAATCATTTAAGAATAAAACTTCGAAATACATAAGATCCAGCTTAACTTTTCATTTTACCTTATAATTTTACTTTCATGCGAAATTATTACGCATACAAAGATTTTATTAATACACTTTTATAAAAGCCGTCAAAAGCAATAACAATAACTTTTACGGAGCTAATTCCCCAACAGCGGATTAGGGCAAACAAAAAATAAAAAATCCAAACGGGAAC